GGATAGCAAACATACATGCACACGACTGTAGCATGCACACACTTCACACAAGCTGCTATGGCCCACACACAGAATTCCTTGCACGGAAGCCATGGCTACCTCTTCTCCTTCACTTGTAGGTCAAGTAGCGTTGTCCTTCTTGCCCACGAGTGCCCCCCAGCTTCAGCACTCCAGGATGACGATTCAGCTTGCACATAACACTTTTGTTACTTGGCCTTGGGTACTGGTACGTTCTGGCCTGGCCTGACCTGGGTTGTGCCATGCAGCCTGCTGCACGCCCTACCTCTATTGTCAGTCTACGAATGGTACTAAGGGCTTTGCTATGAGTTTGTGAATGTGCAGGTCATGGGATCAAGACTCAACAAGCTCAAAATGCCTAATCTCTTATAAAACAAGGGGAGACCCACAGGCACGTGAGGGTCTGGGATGGAATCCCAGCAGGCAAATGAACGTGAATCCTTTCACTCCCGCCGGCCCATTTTGAGCATAGCGCAGAAACAGAGAATAGTCTGATGTGTGCTGGAGCTTGCTACTTATTCTGCATTTTCTATTATTCTGATTCCCTGTTCTTGCCTTTCGTACCCTGATACGATTTTGGGTGCTGTATCTTCCAGTTCTTTCTATCTGAACCATCTATCTTTTTGGGGAGATTTCCGATATGAAAACTTTACCCTGTACTGTTTTGGTGGTCTACCCCTTCGCCCTCTTAGGTCTGCTTCTTCGTGTATTCTTTCAACATCATATCTCCCATCCATATCAGGTGGTATCGAAGAGGGTCGTGAAGGGAACAAACTTTCATCAGCATATGGCATTAGCTTTGAAGCACACTGGGTAAGCTTTCAAGTGGTAAGGGACATCAATCAGGTAAGATACTCCATCAGCTCCTCCAATAACTTCCATCACTTTCCACAGGCCTAAGTATGGAGGCAACAATTTCTGCGACATGCTGAAACAGTTTTCACCTTTGGCAGTAGCCGATGCAGATCCCAGGGGTCGATCCCTTGACCTCAGCTTACCTGTGTACAGTATCTGTACAGTTC